CTGCTGCTGACACTGCTGCAGCAGCAACGACCGCTGTTGCCGCTGCTGCGATTGAGCTGCAGCAGCAGCAAGAAAGGCTAATGCTTCCTCAGGAGTTGTAGGAGCTGTTTTCTGCTGTTGCTGTCGCTGCATCTGCTGTTGCTGCTGCTGTTCTTGCCGCTGTTCTTGCTGCTGCTCCTGTTCATGTTGCTGCTGATGATCTTGCTGCGGCTGGTGGTCCTGCTCTTGCTGCTGTTGCTGCTCCTGCTGCGGCTGGTGCGCTTGTTGCTGCTGCTGCTCTTGTTGCTGCTCATGCTGCTGCTCCTGTTGCTGCTGCTGCTTCTGCTTCGGCTGCTGCCGGGGCCCATTGGCCTGCCGGCGCCAGCGGGTAGTCCATCGTCGAGGGGCAGTTTCATGGTTGCCGACTTGCTGCTGCTGCTGCTGCTGCTCTTCGTGTTGCTGCTGCTGTTGCTGCTGCTCCTGCTGCTGCTCCGCGGGCGCGGCGACAGCCATTGTGGATTGCTGCGAAGAGGCCAATCAGCTGCTGCTGTTGCTGCTGTTTCTGCTGCTACTACCGTTGCTGTTGTTGCTGCTGCTCTCGTTGCTGTTGCTGCTGCTCTCGTTGCTGCTGCTGCACTCGCTGTTGGGTTTTCTGCCGTTACTGCTGCTGCTACTGCTGCTGCTGCTGCTGCAGTCACAGGTGAGCCGTGCAGTGGTGAGTGCTACTATCTGCATGCAGCTATAATTTGCTGCTGCACAGGTCCTGCAGCAGCTGCTGCTGTTGTTGCTGTTGCTGCTGTTGTCGCTGTTCCTGCTTCGGCTGCTCTGCTGCTGTTCCTACTGCTGAGCTTGCTGCTGTTGACGTTGCCATTCCTGTTGCTGTCAATGCTGCTGCTTCTGCTGCTGCTGTTGCTGCTGCTGCTGGCGGTGTGGCTATAGCTGCTAAGTTCTCGGCCTCTATGCGCGAATCGGCGCCGGCGCTTCCCGCTGCTGCTGCTGCTGCTGCTGCTGCTGCTGCTGCCGTGTCATTCTCCAAGGGAACTAAAACGTAGTCGCAAGAAGAATGGTAGAAGATGCAGCAGCAGTAGCAGCAGCAGCAGAAGTTGGAGCGGTGAGGCGAGTTGCTGCTGCTGCTGCTGCTGCAGCAGCAAAGCAGCACGAACGAAGATCTGCCGAATGCACGCAGTGACAGCAACCAGACTAACCCTGTTTCAGAACGTGTTGCAGTTTAAGAGCAGCAGCAGCTGCTGCTGCAGATGCTGCTGCTTCTACTTCTGAGCTGTCTGCGCCCCCGCCTCGAGTCGGCTGCGGCATGGTCCCCAAGCAGCAGCAGCAGCAGCAGCAGCAGCAGCAGCACGGCTAGCAGCAGCTTCTATGACACACAATCTAGCTTAATAAACAGTTTCCTATTGAAAAAAGAGTATCATTATGCTGCATGCAGCAGCAGCAGCAGCAGCACATGCTGCTGCTGCTGCTGCAAGGTCCTGCTGCTGCTGCTGCTGCTGCCCATAGCAGGGGCCCTCGCAGCTCCCGAGACATCACACAACTCGAAGCAGCAGCAGCAGCAGCAGCAGCCTCTGTTGCTGCTGCCCCCGTATTATACTTTTATATCGTGAACTCGTTTTATTTCTGCTGTTGCTGCTGCTGCTGCAGCACTAACCCACCTGCGATTCGTCGGCTGCGACCCTTTAGGCTGCTGCGGGCAGCTGCAGCAGCAGCAGCAGCAGCAGCAGCAGCAGCAGCAACTGCAGCAGCAGCAACAGCAGCAGCAACAGCAACAGCAACAGCCTGGGGCAGAGGCACGAATATACTTTTCTGTTGGACGCGGAACGGTGGGAAGCTAGGCCCCACAACCGCAGCAACAGCAGCAGCAGCAACAGCTGCAGCAGCAGCAAAGGAAGCAGCAACAGCAACAGCAGCAGCAGTGTCGTGTTTGCTATCAAACCCTTCGATGGCATTGAAGGCTTTATCACGGTGGGTGCAGCTCCGGCTGCTGCTGCTGTTCTGCTGCTGCTGCAGCTGGTGCAGACATATCGCATGCACATCGCTGCAGCAGCACGGGGTCCTCACACCATACCTGCCGGCAGCGCAGCAGCAGCAGCAGCAGCAGCAGGCGTGGGCAGCTGCAGCAAGATTGCCGCTAGCTTTTGCTTCGATGTCTGGGAAGGGAGCTTCCTTCCTGCTGCAGCGAGGGCTCACCTCCAGCGCAATCTCGCCACAGCAGCAGCAGCAACAGCAGTTTCTGCTGCTGCAGCAGCAGCGACAGCAGCAGCAGAACCTGCCTGCATCGACTCGCTTGCTGTATCAAATCCGTCTGAAGTCCCCTGAAGGTGCGTTTGCTGCTGCAGTGCTTATAAACCCCCCACCTTGTTGCTGCTTCTGCTGCTGCTGCTGTTGCTCCTGCTACTGTTAGTGCTGCTGCTGCTGCTGCTGCTGCTGCAGGGGAGGAGCAGGTTGTAGAGTGTAAGGAAGACGAATATATTTTAGATGCTGCGGAGGAGGCAGGCATTGAGCTTCCCTACTCCTGTAGAGGAGGCTCCTGCAGCACCTGCGCTGGTGAGCTGCTGCTGCTGCTGTTGCTGCTGCTGCTGTTGCTGCTGCTGCTGTTGCTGCTGCTGTTGCTGCTATTGTTGACGCGGTTTTGTCGGTGTGTCTAATCGTTTGAGCGCTGGTTCTGCTGCTGCTGCTGTTGCTGCTATTGCCACGGCCGCTACCCTCTCAACTGTTCAACTGCTGCTGCTGCTGCTGCTGCTGCTGCTGCTGCAGGTAAGCTGCTTAAAGGGTCAGTAGATGGGTCTGAACAGAGCTACTTAGATCCGCAGCAGCAGCAAAATGGCTTCGTGCTGCTCTGCACCGCTTACCCTAAGAGCGACTGCACTATCCTTACACATCAAGAAGACGCTCTCCACGAACCCTAAACCCTAAACCCTAAACCCTAAACCCTAAACCCTATTTTCACTTTTTAATGTTCCGTTGGCTCTGGCTCTGCTTCGTCCAAGCCCAGCAGGCGTAGAGGGCTTCTCTTTGTTCGATCAGGAGACAGCAGCAGCAGCAGCAGCAACAGCAGCAGCAGCAGCACTAACAGCAGCAGGGTAGGCAGGTATAATGTTAGCGTGCTCGTGTATTGTTTTCGTTGTTTTGTTTATGTCCATACAAAGGGATATTCGCAGCCTTCAGAGGGGCTGGGACAAGCTAGCTAGCTAGCCAGCTAGCTAGCTAGCTAGCTAGCTAGCTAGCTATCCATCTAGCTAGCTAGCTAGCTGCTTGCTGGCTAGCTAGCTGGTGTAGGGCCAGACGCCGCTCAAGCTGCGAATGCAACTAATAGAGGGCTGGAAGAATGCCGCCAGGGCTTAGTATTGAGTGTTTGTAGTGATCAGGGTTTAGGGTTTAGGGTTTAGGGTTTAGGGTTTAGGGTTTACATGCAAAGCCAGTGGGGAGGGGAATCTGGCCAAGACTGCAAACAAGGTGATAGCCATTGAAGCGTTTTTTGCTGCTGCTGCTGCTTTTGCCGCTGCTGCTGCTTTTGCTGCTGCTGCTGCTGCTGCTGCAGCACTGGGTGTTGCTGATCCGCTACCGCCGCTGCTGCACCGCTTCATTAGGAGCAGCAGCAGCAGCAGCAGCATTTGTTGCACTTGTTGCTGGGGTGTATATACACCTCAGATTCTGCAAGCCGCAGAGGCCTCTGCTATTACCTCAGCAGCACTGGGGAGAGCAGAGCCAAACTGCGTCAGCAGCGGCACTGCTAGAGGTGCTGCTGCGCAAGCTGCTGCTGCTGCTTGCAAGGTAAGGCCTTGACTCTTTAATAGCTTCTCTATCATCTCAGCAGCACGGCTTTCATCGGCTAGCTGCGTATCCCAGGTCTTCCCCACTTGGCCTGCATGCAGAGAGAAACAACAAAGACAGCAGCTAAATATATCTTCCTGCTGCTGTTGCTGCTGTTGCTGCTGCTGGTGCTAAAGAAGCTGAGGAAGTTGCGGACGCAGCTTCTCGGCTCTGCTGCAGCAACTGGAGTGGAGAGAGCAGCAGGGACAGAAAATGCAGCAGCACCAACAGCAACCTCAGGAGCAATTGCAGCAGCAGCAGCAGCAACAATGAAACAGGCTTGTGCTGTGTTAGAACATACCTGCAAGATTGATAAGGAAGCACTCTGGATCAACTCCAGTGAGGTTGCAGTCGACATCAGCTGCTGCTGCCTTTCCTGCTGCTGATGTGCTGCTGCTGCTGCTGCTGCTGCTGCTAGATTCGGTTAGTCCCTGTGTCTTACAGACCGTAGGGAGAGCAGCTAAGGCCTGAGAAGCCCCAGAGAAGTCTTCTTGAGTGTCTAAGAATGCAAAGAGCATTGCAGCAGGTGAACCAGCTAATAGTATGTCAGGGCTGATTTCAAAGTCTTGAGCAGAGCAGAGAGAGATGAAATAGGTAGAAAAAAGAAGAAAAAAAGAATATAGAGGAGACATTTTAATTAATTAGGTTAAATAATTAATTTAATTAATTATTTATTTATTTTTTACCCTTCTTTTTACTCTATTTCCAACCTACAGTCTGTCGTGCTGCTGCTCCTTCTGCTCTGGTGTATAGACAGCTAGTGAATAATACTTAATAATAACAAAACAAAACAAAAAGATATACCTGAGACAGAAAAAAGAATAAACAAATAATAATATTGATAACAATTAATAGCTCTGATGCTCAGCAGCTGCACACAAGTCAGGCAACAGCAACAGCAGCAGCAGCAGCTGCAGCAGGAACGAACCGCCGCCGCAGGTCACTTGCTGTTGCTGTTGCTGCTGTTGCTGCTGCTGCTGCTGCTGCTCCGCTACAGCCTATCTCTCTCTCGTTCATCGCTGGTTTACGCATTGAGTTAGCCAAGGGCCTCTGCATTTCTTTCGTTGTTTCTGCGGCTTAGCACAACTACAGGTGTTTCTGTATTATTTCTACTATAACATTTGCGGCTGCTGCTGTTGCTGCTGCTGTTGCTGCTGCTGCTGCAATGTTGCGTCTTTTCGCCTTTTCCCTCCTTCTCCTGCACGCCTTCCCCCTTGTCAGGGCAGCAGAACAAAGTAAGAAGTAGTAGTTTAGAGTTCTGTGAGGGCTTTACTATGTCTCTGTTCTTTTTTGTGTTTGTTTGCTGTTTGCTGCTAGGGTTTATATCTGGTTATATATACATATATGTCTCTCTCTAGGGTTTAGGGTTTAGGGTTTAGGGTTTAGGGTTTATACGTGGGGTGGTGCTGGCTTCTCTTCTTTCTTCTTCTGCAGTATTTAAGCTGCTGTCTGTCTGCATAGACGAAGGAGACAGTCAGTGTATAATTAAAAGTATAATTACAAACTGCAGCAGCAAATAAAGCATCTTTAAGCGCCAACACATACACTCAAATTAAAATAAATATTTCTCTTCTCTGTACACCCCAACAGATTCACCCTTCCTTCTCCCCTTCCCTCATCACTTATTTTATTTTTCTTGTGTTTGCTGCAGCAGCAGGCGGCAGCGACTCGCGCACACCCACATCCAACCCCAACCCCAGCAGCAGCAGCAGTATAATCGGCAGCAGCAACAACAACAGCAGCAGCAGCAGCAGCAGCAGTATTGACGTTGATTGCAAAGGCGGCTACGGCGCTTGGTCTCCCTGCGAGCCACTAGAAGGACATGATACTCATCATGATTCTGAAGATGAGTTTAACTTACAGAGAGGGCCTGACGGATATTATGTAGGGGAATGTTTTCAATACAGAACATTTCATATAATAACAGCTGCACGGGGTAACGGTAATAAATGCAGTAAAAGAGATGGTTCAAAAGTATTTCGTTATTGCAGCGATTGCAGCGCTCTACCTGCGGTGTATAAACACCTTCAAGCCCCTCAACAACAAGTTTCGAGCCTTCGTTTCTTTGCTCTTATTGCTGGACTTCTTTGTCTCGTTACCACCATCGTCTTTGTTGCAATTTGCCTCAAAAAACTTCTCATTCATGATGGGCCGCCCATTCATCAATATCCGCCTTCTGCTGAACGAATTGAACAAGCTCATCTGGAACCCACAAAAGGCCTCTGTTTAACTCCAGAAGAATCTACGCAGGCTGCTGCTTCAAGGTAGCTCTACATCTATACACAGCTAGCCACAGCTAGCTACACCTAACTGGCGATAGATAGCTCTAGCTAGCTACAACTGGCGACAGCTCGCGACAGCTAGCTGCAAGAGCCAGCTAGCTGTGGCTTACTGAAGAAGGACACCGCCAGCGTGCAGCTAGCTACTGCGAATTGGAACCGCTAGTGTTCTTCCAGCCAGGTGCAGCTAGCTGCAAACAGGTGCAGCTAGCTGCTGCTAGCCACAGGTAGCGACGGCTAGCTGCATCGACCTGCAGCTAGCTACACGTCGCTACGGCCACGGTGCGCTGCAGGTGGCCGCAGGTAGCGCGAACTAGCCGCGGCTAGCTGCGGCTGGCTGCAGCTAGCTGTAGCTAGCTGTAGCTAGCCACCAGCAGCTCCAGGAGGGCTGCACCCGCTGAGGCGGCGTGATATGGCGGCAACAACGCCGCAGCAGGTGAATCAGAGGAGTCCCACGGAGGCCCCTCATAACAAACCTACTAAGTTTTAAGCTCCTGCAAGAGAGCACTCAACCGCAGCAACTCATGTAGCAGCAGCAGCAACAATAGCACAAACAGCAACGGCAGCAACAGAAGCGGCAGCAGCAGCCTAGTAACACCAGCCAGCCAAGGGTAGCAGCAGCACGCGATGCGGGTTCCTTGCTAGTTGAAGCCGACGCAAAACAAGAAAAGAATAACGTGCAGCAGTAGAGACGGCAGCACATTCAACAGCAGCAAGGCCGCATTAGCAGGGCAGCAACAGCACGGGTAGCAGCGACAAAGCAGCAGTAACAGGAGCAGCAGCAGCAAGTTGAAGCAGCACTTGGCAAAAATTGTGTTTAAGGGCTTTGGAAAAGTCGAGGTTTGCTGGCCAGTGGCCACGGAAAACAATCAATTTGTATATCCATACTCTTTATATATATAATCTATATATATAGACTATAGATATACATATATACATATGTATGTTCATAAGTGTACATATATATAAACATATATATATATATATATATATATATATTTTACTGCGTAGGTGGTGCTACTTTGTTTCGGTTTTTCTTGGAGAGCGCTCCTTGTGCTGTTTGGGCTGCTGCTTGTGCGACGGTTTTCGTAGTGCTTACAACCGCCGCCACTGCATGCGTTGTTGCTGCTGCTGCAACGGGAAACATCTGAGGCATCCTCGCTAACGCCACGTCCACACGCATCACAGTTGGCGGCTGGCGCTGCTGCTGCTGCTGCACCTGCTCTTGCTGCATCTGCTGCTGCTGAAGCTGCTGCTGATGCAGCTGCTGCTGGTGCTGCAGTTGCTGCTGTTGCTGTTGTTGCATCTGCTGCTGCAACAGCAGTTGCTGGTGCAGCAGTTCTTGCTGCATCCAGTGCGGGTCGATGATAAGCTTCCTCACGCCAGCGCCAGCATTTTGTGCTGCGTGTGCTTCTTCTGCTGCTTCTGCTGCTGCTTCTTCTTGTGCTTCTGGCGCTGCTTCTTCTGCTGCTTCTGCGGCTGCTTCTGCGTTTGCTTTTGTTGTTGGCTCTTCTGCTGCTTCTGCTCCCGTTTCAGCTACTACTCCTGCCGATTCCGCTGCTGCTGTGTGTGATGGCGTATCGGGAGTAGGTGCAAGAGCTTCACGACTTGTTGCAACGATAGACGCTGTTGCTGTCTCTTGAGCAGGGGCAGAAGCACTGTTTTCACCCGATTCGTCTGTTGCTGCTGCTGATTCAGAAGCAGGACTGGCCTCTGCCTCCCTTGCTGCTGCTGCTGCTGCCCCTGTTACTGGTGTTGCTTCAGAAGCCGCCGCATTGTCACTTGCTGCTCCTGCGGACGCTTCAGGAACAGAAGCAGCATCTTTGTCGCTTGTTTCTGCTGTTGCTGCAGCTGGTGCGAATTCTCTAGCAGCAGGTGCGCCACCCGTCTTCTCGGCTTCTGCTGCTGTTGATGCTGCTGCGCTTGCTGATTTTGCTGTTGTTGCTGCTTTCGTTGCTTCTGCTGCTTCTGCTGCAGCCGTATCAGAAGCAGGCGCCACCTCTCCTTCACGTTCGGCTGCTGCTGATGCAGTAGCGGACTCAGAAGCTTCCCCACTTGGTGCTGCTGCTGCCTCTGCTGCAGCTGCTGCGTTGTCTTGCTGCTGCTCCAGAGTTGGCGCAAATGCTGTTCCACGTTCTGTCTCTGCTGCTGGAGCCGCCTTTGCTGCTGCTTTTGCTGTTTCTGCTTCAGCTGCTTCTGCTTTGGCTGCTTCTGCTTTGGCCGCTTCTTTTTTTGCTGCCTCTGCTTTGGCTGCTTCTGCTTTGGCTGCTTCTGCTTTAGCTGCTTCTGCTTTGGCTGCTTCTGCTTTGGCTGCTTCTGTTTTCCTTGTTTCTGCTTTGGCTGCTTCTGTTTTCCTTGCTTCTGCTTTGGCTGCTTCTGCTTTAGCTGCTTCTGTTTTTCTTGCTTCTGCTTTGGCTGTTTCTGCGTTGGCTTCTTCTGCTTTGGCTGCTTCTGCTTTGGCTGCCTCTGCTTTGGCTGCTTCTGCTTTGGCTGCTTCTGCTTTGGCTGCCTCTTTTCTTGCTGCTTCTGCGTTGGCTTCTTCTGCTTTGGCTGCATCTGCTTTGGCTGCTTCTGCTTTGACTGCTTCGGCTTTGGCTGCTTCTGTTTTTCTTGCTTCTGCTTTGACCGCTTCTGCTTTGGCTGCTTCTGCTTTAGCTGCTTCTGTTTTTGCTGCTTCTGCTTTGGCTGCTTCTGTTTTTCTTGCTTCTGCTTTGGCTGCTTCTGCTTTAGTTGCTTCTGCTTTAGCTGTTTCTTCTTTAGCTGCTGCTGCTTTGGCTGCTTCTGCTTTGGCTGCTGCTGCTTTAGCTGCTGCTGCTTTAGCTGCTGCTGCTTTAGCTGTTTCTGCTTTGGCTGCTTCTGCTTTAGCTGCTTCTGCTTTAGCTGCTCGTGCTTTTGCTGCTTCGGCCTTTGCTGCTTCTGCTTTAGCCGCTTCTGCTGTTTCTGCTGCTGCTGCTGCTTCCCGCGCTTTCTCCTCAGCTTCTGTCTTGCCTCCCCTCGTTATGGCTCGCTTCAGGGCAGCCTCTCGAATGCTGCCCCCACCTTCTCTGCGTGCTGTTTTCTGTCGAGCGGAAACTTCAGAAGTTTTGGGTTCTTCTGCAGCTTCTTCAGGGAACTTCACTCCACCAGACGTCTTGCCTTCTGCTGCCTGTGGTTGTGCTGGCTTTGCTGTTTCTGCTGCTGAAGCGTGCGGCGGTACTGTTGCTGCCTTTTCCATTGCCGTTGGCTCTGCTGTAGCTGCTACTGTCGATTGCGTGGGTGTTTTCCCTGTCTCTGCTGCTGCTGCTTGAGAAGCTGATGTAGCTGCTTCAGGAGCTGCTGTTGCTGCTTGAGGAGCTGCTGTTGCTGCCTGAGGAGCCGCTGTTGCTGCTGGTTTTGCTGTCGCTGGGGTGAGCGTTTGAGTAAGGGGCTGTTGCTGCCTCCACAGAGTCGCGTCCATTCCCAATCGTTGCAACAGCTGCTGTAGGGGCTGCTGCGGCGGCCGCTGCAGCAGCAGCAGCTGCTGCTGTTTGTCTTCTTTGTTCTTAACCTTCTCGCTGGAGCTGTTTGGAGGTTCTCCCGCCAGAAAAAGCCGAGAGAGAACTCCCGTTGCGTCGGTCAAATACTGCATAGCCTGCTGGTGCTGCGGCTGAGGCATGGCCCTGGTTGTTCCATGCAGCGCGTAAGCAGCAGCAGCAGCAGAAGAAGACACGAAATCAGACAGCATTATATCAAGAGTCCCCCGGAGACGGGGGCTGATAGCGTCCGAAAGAAACGGAGTGTCGGAAGTTATGAACTGCAGCCACTCGCTGGGCGTCCCGAGACCTGATATATTTTTACAGTTGGTATTTGAACGGAATAACTGTTAAAGCACACAATATATACATATATATATATATATATATATTTCATTACACTGGTTTATCCATCATGTATAAATATATATATATATATATATATATATATATATACATGTGCATTCTGCCTTTTGTTTCGTTAGAATATTAATTGATTAACATCACGTTTTACCTGTAATAACATTCATTGCGTGCTGCACATCCACATTCGCCGGTTCGTCATCGTCCTTCAAAAAGAACTTGGATTTCATGTTTCAGACCGTTTTATTGCAGTGTTTTTTGGTATTCTGCTTCAGTTTGTTTTTCCTTACTTCTGATAATTCTTGGATTCTTCGCTCGTTCAGGGGGCCCGTTGGTGTAATTGTGACTTAAAACACCAAAATATTTAACCACCATCTGTGGAAATTCTGTATCTTCTCACTTACTCTTTACCTCCGAACTGGCTGCGGCCACCAAAAAGGAATTCTTCTCGGTGAAAACGGAAAAAAGAAGAAATGAAAAAAATGCGGCAAACGCCGCGAATTTAGAAAACATTATTGAAAAATGAAGTCAGCGATTACGGCAGAAAGCTGCTTTCCTTGTTTCGCTTTGAGCAACGCGTATATTTATTGTACAAAAACAATATGTGCTTGCTGGTAGTTGCGGAGAGGAAGCGGGGGTGGAAAGCTGGAGAAAAAAAGCCCTTCAGCTCCTTTATTTCTGAATGTAAAGAGAATATAACATTTAAAAACGAATTATTCAAAAAATCAAGATAAATGCTATCTGAAAAAAGTGAAATCTGCGCGTTTCCCTGCCGAAACATTCAAGCCGCCGATGCAGGTGCATGCTGTCACTACGCACAACTTGTATACTGCAACAACAGCAAAAGCACCGAAAAAATCAAATTTCCTTTATCTCATTGAATTGGCAATTGAAATTTGGTTTCTTTTAGTGCATTTCTTTCAAAAGTGTTTAATCTTCGAATTGCACGTTTCTAGTCAGTATCCGCTACTGGCGTTCCGAGTGCGTGCCTGCCCTGCAAGTACAAAAGTTAACTATAATATACTAAGTATAACGTGCAAAATCCAACAGTATTACTCATAATTAATGAAAATTTCATTAAAAAAACTCATTTAGGTTTCTTCCGCTCTGTTTCACCGTTATTCAAGTTCTGGTCCGCTGAAGGCCATTGGGGCTGCAGCCGCATTCTTATGAATAGCCCCTTGACTGTTTGTAGGTTTTTCACGCTTTTTTTGTCTCTTACTTCTAGTAATCAGTTTGCTTAGAGGGTTTTCAGGTATTAATCACTAACCAATTGACGCGTGGAGGCTTGATTAACAGGCAGAACTCGATAGTTTTTGGGTTTTTGAACTGTTCGAGGTCTCTATCGATTTCAACTAATAAGAACATCAGCTGTTACATCGAGATGAGCGGCCTAGGAAGTTGTTTGTCCTACTGATGCTGCGTCAGCAGCAGCAGCTACAACAGCAATAAGAACACCAAGAGCAACAGCAACAGCAGCAGCAGCAACAGCTACGACAACAACAGCAGTCACACCAGCAACAACAGCCTCAACAACAACAGCAACAGCAGCAACAGGAGCAACAACAACAACAGCAAAAGCGACAACAGCAACAACAACAACAGCAACAACAACAACAGCAGCAACAACAACAGCAGCAACAACAACAACAGCAGCAATGATTTCGAAGGAGCGCCAGTAACCAGGGCCGCGTGCTTCTTATTTTATGTTTTGGCGCTTAATTTCAGTCGCTTCTCCTCTTTGTTTTTTTGGGGCATATGTAGACATATTTGTTTATATGTTGCAGCGCATCGCGTCTCCTTCTATTTTGGTTTCTGGAATAATAACTTGCTCTTCCTTTTCTTCTATACGTGCTGCTGCTGCTGCTGCTTCTGCATCTCATCATGTGGTACGGGCAGATCGTGATAGGGCCCCCAGGCAGCGGCAAGAGCAGCTACTGCTTCGGCATGCAGCAGCTGCTACAGGCGCTGCAGCGGCAGCACATTGTCGTTAATTTAGACCCTATGAACGATTCGCTGCCTTATGAATGCGCGGTGGATGTGATGGAATTGATTAAAGGAGAAGATGTAATGAAGAATTTGCAGCTGGGGCCTAATGGGGGTACAGATACACCTTGCTGCTGCTGGCGTTGCTGCTGCCGCTCTTGCTGCTCTTGTTGCTCTTGCTGCTCTTGCTGCTGTTGCCGTTGCTGTTGCTGCTGTCTTTATTTCTGTGTTTTCGTTCGACTGCCTCTCTCATCTTTTTCCGTTTTATTGTTAACATCTATTATTTATAACTCTTCCCATTTTGCTTTGCGTGCTATCTTTCCTCTAATGCATCCATCTACAAACAAAACTATCTGTACAAACAAACTGAATTGTTGCTGCCCATGAACGTGAAAGCGCTGCATGCAGTGCATGCAGAGCAGAACCGAGCGCGGGCTTGGGGTGTCTCTGCATGCAGCTATTATTTGTTGGGGTGTATGTGCAGCTATGATTTATTGCATGGAGTTTTTGCTGGAGAACATTGACTGGCTGGTGGAAAAGTTGAAGGCCTACAAAAGTAAGTTGCAACAATAAAAGTGCATAAATAACAGCAAACTCTAGCACATTGTGCGCCCGTTGCTGTTGCTGCTGTTGCTGCCTCGGGTCCTGCTGCTGCTGTTGTTGCTGTTGCTGCTGCCTCGGGCATAGCTGCTGCTGCTGCACTCGTCGGCTGAGCGGCTTCAATCTTTGTCAGATTTTCTGCACATCCGCACTTGGCGCTGTCAGCACCGGCGCTGTTCTGCTGCTCCAGCGATCCTTGCGTTTGCTGCTGCTGCAGCTTGAGATGCCTCCTGCGTTTGCTGCTCTCCGCATCGTTGCTGCTGCTGCTGGCGCTGCTTGAAATATCTGTTTCAATATCTCCCTGTTTAGTGCTGGTGCTGGTTGAGAAGTGTTTTGGGGTTTGCTGCTGCTGCTGCTTGAGATGTCTCACCGTGTGTGTGCTGCTGCTGCTGCTGCTTCTGCTGTTTGTTCTTCAGATTATTACGTGCTGATTGACTGCCCCGGTCAAGTTGAATTATTTACACACCACGACGCGCTGCGCACAATCATTAGACATCTCGAGAAACTCGATTTCAGGGTCAGCAGCAGCAGCAACAGTAACAGTAGCAACAACAGCAGCAGCACCAGCGACAGCAACAGCACGACCAGCAGCAGCAGCAGCAGGCGTGGGCGGCCGGAGAGTTCAGAACGAGTCTTTTGCAGTTTGTGTGCTGCAGATGACGGCGATTCAAGTTCTGGACAGCACGCTGTGCACGGACGCATTCAAAGTGAGAAGCAGCAACAGCAGCAGCAGCAGCAACGGCAACAGTAACAGCAATAGCAGCACGAGCACTATGGCATGCTGCTACGAACATGGCTTTCGAACTGTTTTTCAGAACCGCCGGCACGCTGCTGCTGGACCTGTTGAATTTGTTGGTGCTGCTGCTGCTGTTGCTGCTGTTGTTGCTGCAGCACATCAGCGCTCTGCTGATGGCTCTGTACGCGCAGCTGCAGTTGGAGCTGCCGCATATAAATGTTTTATCTAAAGTTGATCTTCTGAAGCTTCATCGAAAAGATTTGAGTAAGAGGCACTTCGCCCCTTCATCCCTTATAGCGTTGTTTATCAAGAAACAAACATACAAACGAATCAAACAAGTACGGGATATATATATATATATATATATATATATATATATATATATATGCTGTTCTCACATGGGTTGTTCCTTCGTTTGTTTATTTGTTTGCTGTTTTATTTATTATTTTTTATTATTACACTTGCTTGTTTATTTCGTTTTGTTTGCTTATTTATTTCCTTACTTTTATCTAGTGTATGTTCCTACGCTATGCTGATCATCGCTTCTTTTAGATATTTGTTTTAATTTAATTCGCACAGTTGTGTGGTATCTTAATTGTTCTATTTTTGGAGGATATGCCCAAACCTCTTTCGCCATACGGTGTATAGACAGCTTTGCTTGTACACACTTTATTTGTTTGCCCTGCTTAACGAATGCATATGGCTGCAGTTGCTGCAGCAGTAGTTTCAATTGCTGCAGCACCTGAAGGAAAAGCAGCAATCAGGGTACCCGCACAAATAGGAACAACACAAGCAGCAGCACCAGCACCAGCACCAAGAACAGCAGCAGCAATAGCAAGAACAGCAGCACCAGCAAGAACAGCAGCAACAGCAGCCGGACCAGCAGCAACAGCAGAAACATTAAGAGCAACAGCAGCGTCAACGGTTGTCTTTTCTTTGCTGCAGGGTTTCGCTTAGAGTTTTACGCGGACGCCTACGACGTGCAGGCGCTGCTGCAGGCGATGCGGCAGGACCCGCATCCTATGGGGGTAAGCAGGGTTGTTGCTTCTGCTGTTTTTTGTGCTGTTGTTGCTGCTGCTGCTGCTGCTGCTACTGCTGTTGCTTCCGCTGCTGTTGGTCTTGCTGTTTATAAAACTAAAAACAAACATTAGAGGCTGTGACGCTTCCTCTTTTGTTCATTTCTTTGTTGTCTTTTGATTACTGTGCAGCAAAAACTTTTGGGGTTTTCTCGCGCAGTTTGCGAATTAGTTGAAGATTTTAAGTGAGGAAATACTTAATTGTATTTCTTGTTTGTCGGTTTAATTCTGAAAGTTTTGATGCTTTGTTTAGTTGTTTAAATTGCCTTTTGTGTTTGTTTTTATTGTTGTAATTGTGTTGTTTGCGCGCTGTTGTTTTAATTGCATCTTTTTTGTTTGTTTTGTTGTTTTAGTTGTTTTGTCTCTTTGCTTAAATATTTAATTGTCTCGGTATTATTTTGTTGTTTAAACTTTCCTGGTTTTGTTTGTTTAATAGTTTGAATTTAATTGCTGCCTTTGTTGTTCACTGAACTATTTAAATACTATTTGTGTTTTGTTATTTGTGCTTCGTTTTTTTTGTCTGTTTAATTGCTTGATTTATGCCGCATTTTCTGTGTGCTGTTTGAGCTGTTTAAATAAATAATATTTTTAATTGCATGTCCGTTTGAATTTCGTAGTTTTTGTTTGCTTGTGTCTGTTTGTTGAACTGTTTGCTTGAATTGTCTTGTTTTTTATCTCAGCATTGTCTCCTTTCTTCCAGTTGCCGTAACAGACAAAGAATGCATGCTGCTGGTATTACGAACAGCAGATGCAGCAAATGGCTTCGCGTTAGGGAATTATACAGAAAATGAAAGGGGCTATCCCTTGCATCTTGATACAGAGGAAGAAAGACAAAATCTGTAAACACCTGTGGCTGCAGCTGCAATAATATCGCCTTTCTGTCCACATACTTGCGTTCCCGATGCTGCTGCTTTTGCTGCTGCTGCTGGTGCTGCTTCTCTTGCTGATGTTTCTGTTGCTGCTTCAGTTGCTGCTGTTGCTGAGGCTGTTGCTTAGGCTGCTGTTACTGTTGTAGCTGGTCTCAACTGCTTCTGTAGCTAACTATTACTGCTGCTGTGCTCGGAGGGGTTGGTATGTATATCTGTTTTGGTGTCTCTTCGTGGGGTTTCTGCCTCAGCTGCTGCTGCCGCTGCTGCTCTGGCTGCTGCGTGTGTGCAGTATTGAAAGGTTGCAGGAGCGGTACTTGGATTGGGATGAAGAAGACGAAGAAGAAAACAAAATCCAGCTGGAGCCGCCAGAGGAGTCCAGCTGAACTATAGGAAGCACTTTGCCTCCTGTGTTTAGTGTTCTAGCGGTTTTAGGGGTTTTAGGGTTTAGCGGTTAGAGGGGCTAAGAACTCCGCGGTGGCGCTTGCTGCTGCACCTGCCGCAGCTTCGGCTGCAGCAGCAGCAGCTTCGGCAATGGCTGCAGCAGCTGCGTTTCGCGCATATATATATATATATATATATATATACACGGGAAACGCATTGTTTTTTGTTTTCCTTTGCATTGGATTGAACTTTGAATGCCGGTAGCAGCAACTGCTGCTGCTGGCCGCAGCAATTGCAAGACCGACATCTCTCTCTTGTTATTCTTTATGGGGATACTGGCGATGCGCTGCTAGCATAACGCGGAATGATTTCTGTTGCTAAGGAGAGAAGACAGACGCATCAATGTATGGACGTACAATATGCATCAATGCACATGCCTACAACATATATATATATATATATATATATTATATTGTGTTTGCGTTTGTTTGTATTACTGAGGACTACATGGATATCAGAAAAGGCTCATCCTCTTTGTTGCATGCTGCTATATTTGTTTACATTTGTCTATCTGTCTAAAAGCCTTTATACCACCATAATATAATTATATTCATTAATATGTGGCGTATCTGTCTCCTCTAATAAAACCCAACGTGGTGCTATTCACGATAAGTTTCTGTTATATCTATTTATTTTATATAATGCTACGTATGCCCGTTTGAGTTTTCCTTCACATGCACACACATACACGCATACGAAAAGAGCTTTTTGCAAACAAAGAATTACAAAAAAGTAGGAAAAAAAGGACAAGAGAAAAGTGTTTGAAAGCACTTGGGGAAATTGGGCCAAGAGGCACAAGCAGCGAATGCAGAGAACTGAACCGCTGTTCCCGGACGCTGCCTCTCCCTAATAACTCGCGTTAGTGCGAGTGCTGAGAGTGTTTTTAGGTTCTGCTTAGGCTACGCTGCAACCCTAGACTATTAATTAAACCCTTCATAGGGGCAACGGGCAGGCAGCTGGACTAAACAGGCAGTGCAAACACTGCGTAAGATGCCTAACGCACTTACTGGGCGATGCAAACCCCAACACACCAACGACGGAGGCTTACGGATTAGGGTTTAGGGTTTAGGCACTGAGTTAAGGGAGCATGGAGTGTGGGGTTTGAGAAGGTCTAGGGTGTGATACATGAAGGGTTTTGAATAGTTTACGGCACCTTGAACTGTGCAAGGTACTTGTAGCTGCCAGCAGCTCTCCTGCCCACAGGTGCCTTGCTGTTAGAGGGTTTAGGGTTTAGTGTTTAGTGAGCAGATTTCAAGCAACCACTTTGGAGCTATACTAGAGCGACAAAGTGCATTGGGGTTTAGGATGATAGCAAACCAAGGAAAGCTGCCTGAAACAACACCACAAATCGTAGGCCATAAACCCACGCAACAAAGCGGAAAAGATTTCCAAGCCATTGGAAGCCTATGGATAATACTTCTCTCCTCTGCAGGAACCCAACTTTAACTTGTTTCTGCCTACGAGAAAAGGAGAGATCGAGAAACGCATGCATCCACTTCACCTTAACATTGCACTAGTAAAACTATTCAGGTCTGCCTCCTCTGGCTTCTGTTGCTGCGCACAAGTTGTCTGCGAGCAGCGATTGCTCAGGGATTCTGCTGTGGAAAAACCAACAGGGCATGCTCAGAGAGACGCCAATAAAACAAACTGAAAGAATAATACAGATAGATCTGCCTCCAGCCTGGCTAAGATCCCCTATCCTTTGCCCTTGCAGATGTCCTTTAACGCACCAACTGCAACGAGGTGGTAGAAAGCAGAGAGTTGAAAAAATTTGTCAATACGTCAGCAGCAGCAGCAGCAGATGCAGGTCCAGTAGCAGCAGCAGGGGAATCAGCCACAGCAGCAGTGCAAGAGTGGATAGCCCCTCATAGACAACAAAAGAAGAAACCGCACCAGGAGAGGCAGTGCTGCACCTCCTTTTTGTTAAAAGGCGTATGGACTGTACACAGCGAGCTGCACGTTTCTCTGTTGGCCTTTCCCCTTGCTTGGAGAGAGGCTTATTCGCGCTATTCTAGCAGATCGTAGAGTCTATCACAAACCCTAAACCCTAAGCCCTCAACCCTAAGCCTATACGTACTTCCTGTTTTGAGCCAGCCAATACCGCAGCCAAACCCAGCTCCTGTAAATCGAACTTTAGATTACTAATAAACTCTCTCCACAATAAATACACCGGTGTAATGCCAGCCCATTACACCGGTGCATTTATTGTGTAGGGAGCTCTGGTAGACTCTGCGACGTACTGAGGAAGCCATAGTAGAATCTACACCCACACCCACACACGCATATATATATATATATATATATATATATATATATAT